TGGGGGGGCAGGGGTGCACCTAATCCCCCGGGGAAGCAGCATCAGGAGACCTAAAGAACCCAAGTGTCCTGGGTCCCACACTGCCCCCCCTCCAACCCTGAGGCCCAGGAGGAGATAGGCTCAGGACCCAGGTTTATGTAGCAACTGGCATCCCAAGGCCCTACTATGACATCACTGCGCACCACCGTGACATCACGGCCGCAAGACCTGCCTGGGGCAGGGCCGGGCCCAGCAGCAGGGACTGGCCATGAAGGCGGGGGGCACGCCTGGGGCCCTGGTGCTCCGCCTGGTGCTGGCCTGGCTCCGGGCTCTCAGGTGGGTGGAGGGCACGGGGCAGGGGGGCCGGGGACCACAACAACATCCCTTGACACCCCCCCCACCCCCGCCCTGTGTCCCCACAGGGCAGCAATCACCAGCCTCCTGCATCGGGCGCAGCGTGCCTTCTGCCACCTGCCCCTCCCCTGGGCCGTGCCATGGCACTGGGACCCGGTGGCTGTGGTGCTGCCTGGTCCCCCGCCCCCACCCAGTCTGAGCCCCCCGGACGGGGAGGACGCAGGGTGGGGGCACCCACTGGCCCAGGAGCCAGGTACAGTTGGGGTCAGGGAGGGGCACCCCAGTGGCGCAGGCACCCGGACACCTGGGTTCCTACCCTCTGCACCTGCCTCAGTTTCCCCTCTGAGGCCTGCACCATCCCAGCTGCCAGCATGGCTCACCCCTGGCAAATCACCCCATTGCTGGCACTGCTGGGACCCCCTGGGCTCCAGCCACACCTCTGCCCATGCCTCAGTTTCCCAAGGAGCTGAGGCGCCTCTCGCTGCAGGCAAGGCCCCTGCGACGGGGGCCCCGGCCTGGCCAGGGGCAGAGGCAGAGGCAGGCCGTGGCCCCTGCACCGTGCGCTGGAAGCTGCTCTTCGGTGTGTACCCGCCGGAGGCCACGGCAGAGGCACAGCGGGAGCTGGACCGGCGCCTGGGCGCCCGCTACCGCGCCATGAAGGCAGCGTGGCGCAGGCGTGTGCCCAGCGCCCGGCACTGGCGCGTGCACTCAGACAGTGAGTGGGCCCCCTGTCCTCTGCTCTTTGGTGCCACAGGACACCCAGCGCCACACCCTGGCACCCTCCATTTATATCCCCCCAAGGCTCCACCCACCAAGAAGCCCCACCCCCGAGTGAAACCATAGAGCCCCGCCCTCCTTAAAGAGCCAGGACCCCTCTAGGCTGAGACGGGGCCTGCTCTGTGCCCACAGTGGAGCTGGCACTGGCCATCCAGGAGCACGAGGGGCGCGAGGAGGAGGAGGAGGAGGAGGAGGAGGACGATGAGGAGGAGGCGCTGGAGGTGAGTGGGCAACAAGGAAGGCTCCAGTGGGGCTGCGGGAGCACAGCCCTGGGGGCACGGCTGGGCTCTAACCACCGGGCACCACTGCCCACCTGGAGCAGGGAGAGGACCCAGGCATCCAAGCTGCCCAAAGCCCTGCCCTGCCACAAGAGGACCCAGGTGGCCGGGCTGGGTAGGGCTGGGCAGGCACTGACCCG